GCGATAATAAAAGGTAAACAAGTTAACTAAGCGTCTTTATAAGAATGCTTTCTACTTAATCTTTAAACATATTTTAAAAGTATTCATATTTTACGTAAGCCTTCTATCCACGATACGGCTTTATAACTTCACCTGTGCCATTAGAAAGCTTAGTAAATTATATGGCCCCTGCCAGGTGACACTGATTCACACCCATTTATTATTTGGGTAGCTTAGGTCAGTAATGCGCCGCGGAATGCAAAACAAAGCGAGGCAAGACATGTGATCGCCAGCGATAAAATACTTGACGCACGTTTTATTTTTAGTGGATGTCTAGACCCACCTGGTATTCTGGTATTTAATCGATAAATATTGCCAACTGTGTGTTTATATTTAGCAATATCATTGTTGTATTTTTCATTTTTCGCCGGCCAGTTTGCCAGCCATTACAAATGCCAGTCGAGCGGCGAGAGTTGTGAAAATATTTTCCCATGGTGTTGAAATGACGCCCACGAACAAGTGCATCGCTCCGCACTCCTTTCACTCGGCTTTCCCATGATTCTCCACCGGATTCTTGGGCTCTTCTGCTGAAGAACGGCCCACGTTGCTCATTCCTCTGAGCTCAGTGTGCACAAATTGGCAAACACGCAACTCATGATCAAGTGCAATCTTTTTGACATTAATATGACAACGGCAGCAGGAGAACACAGGCAGCTGACCAGCGAACAACCAGCGAATCGCCGCGAAAAAATCAATTATGCGCACGCGGCACAAAGCCAAAAGCCACACCGCACAAATGACAACTGGGACTCGGAATGAAGACCGGGATCCAACTGGGGTCCCGACCATAACTCCGACTCCCAGTCCGACTTCCCCTTGCTGATTGAGTATGCGACACAGGCAGCTCCAAAGTGGCGAACGCTGATGAATGTCTGTCAAATTGTTGACACGCCACGCAGACGCAGATGGAAAGATGGAGAGACATTGCTGACATTGACACAATGCACACGGATGGGGGAAATCGGAAAGGGGGAGGTAGGACTGCGGTCTTGGGAAATCGAACCAATAATACCCAGTAATACTGGACATCAAAAATTGCATTATACAATCAAAAAAAGGCATAGAAATTCAGGAACTTATATTAAATGTTAATAAATTATTTGTATTCAATTTTTTACATTAAATCGTTTTTCTAAATAATTTCTTTATTTTTATTGATATGGAAAACATTAAGCCTGATTCTATAGAATGTTTCTGGGAGTTAAAATATTTGTTCTTTAAAAACATATTATAAATCTTTTATACATTTAACCCAAGTTATAAAATTGAAATAAAGCCCTAAATTAGTTTCTCACAATTGCTATCCAAATTTCAACTCGTCCAATACTCCCCGCTGAAAAGCAGCAACTTCAAGGGAAACTCCACTCAAGAGGCGACAAAGTTGCACAAAGTCTGCCCATGATGATCACGATCGTAATCAGGATCGGCTGATGATCATTCGCGGAAATATTTTATGCCATTTAATTTCAGACCTCCCTCCTCCGCCATCTGCAGCCCAGACGGCCATCTAATTGAGTTGTTGGCCAGCTATATAGCTACATATATGGCCGAAGATCCGAAGAGAGTCGCACGATGGCTGGCAAATATTTATCGGCATATTAATGCAGCATATTTCAAATGCAAAGTCGACTCTCATCTGACTGACTTACTTCCTCAGTGAGCGGCTACCAAACATGTTTATGCAATTTCCCCGCCCGGTCTACGGTCTTCGCTCTTCACTCTTCACTCTTCACTCTCCAGTCTGCCGTCTTCGGTCTTCAGTCTTTAGTCTCCCGTCTCCTTGGTCTATCGCTTGTCTTATCAAATGATTTTATTTATGCTATGGGCGCGCATGTGTGCGATAATTGGATTATTTACTTTCGCGGCTTAGCAGGCAGCGAGTTGTGAAGCTCGTGGAAAATTGTCGAGTTTTCGCTTTCTATTAAGTCGACCCAACGGAGACGCCCCTTACATGGGGCACTTAATTTTGGAAGTTCCCGATTTACACGATTCGATGCAAGAAAAATCGTTCAGAAATATTGTCAAAATGGGTTGGGTAATTAAAACTAGTCTGAGCTTTTTGTGGCTAGCTAAAAAATTATTTATTTTAGCTGGCTATGTTTCATATAAAATACAAATACTAGAAATGGAAAAAATTTATTTTAATCGATACTAACTCAGAATTGTTTTCTTTAGGTCTGCTAATTCTATTTCCTGCTTGTAGTTCCCTCATAGTAAATTACCCATTTGCCAGCTCAGGACGGTAGCCACCAATCAACGCTCCGTCCTGCACCGAAACTCCCACTCAACTCAGGTGGGGAACCAAACTTGGGATGCCAGATCTCCGATTCCAGCCAACTTGGGAACAACACCCAGTTGGCTACCAGACCGCAAATAGACGGCCAAGTCGGCGTTTGGCATTAATATGTATGAGTGGTGTCAGGAGGCAATGCCACAACGCGTTTATCAAACATTTGAAACATGCGTTGACTCCACCCCCTGCGCCTGCCCCGCCCCTAGTCTCCACCCCACCCCAACCCTCCCTTTCGAAACGGTTGACCCAATTAACCGGGCATTATAAAGTCGTAAAGCATATTGCCAGACGTGTGCGGGGTGGGTTGGGAAATTAGCAAATAGTCAGGCCCCCAGGCTAAAGACCGAGCCACAGATAGAGATAGATATAGATAGAGAGAGAGATAGGTACACAGAAAAGAAATAAGATCACTGTAGCCTGAGTGTCAATATATCATATTTTGTTTTATTTTTAGCAATAGTTTCTCAATGGTTTAGAATTTATTTAGTTTTCTATAATATTAGGTTGGGATTATTTTGATTTCAATTATTTTTACTTCAACCATTTTTGATTTAATTTTTTTTGTTGTGTAGCAAAATAGGTGACAACCACTCCCGCCACATCCCATTAAATATGCAAGCGAAAATCGAGTGAACCCATAAATCACAAATCACTTAGGCAAACTTTTTTTGGTAGCTGAACAAGATGTTAAGGAGCCAGGGAGCTGCGGGGGCGGCTGCCAATGGTCATGTTTTGTGCGATAATATTGACAAATTGTGCAAACATTCGCACACAATTAATAAGCGGCGCACAGATGGAGCTCCCCCCAAAAAATGGCCAGAAAACAGACACAAACGGCGGCAGATATTTTCCGCCCACGTGCTGGGGCGCGTGTTCGCATTTTGCAGAAAGCCAGAAAGGCAGAAAGCCAGCAAACCAAAAGCCAACTGACAAAGCCCGAAGACAAAGCCAAACGGAGCAAAAGCAAAACAAAGAGCCGGGGGACATGACAACATAATTCAGATTCAGGGAGGGCGCACTGGCGCTACCTAAAAATAAAAGAGAAATCAGGAATGTCGCCAAGTGTCAGGGGACAATGGCGCAAATACAGTGGCACAATCTTTTGCTAAAATATAAAATACATTTAAATTATTTCGGCTGACTATTAAATCCAGAATACCAAATGTTTGATACTTTAGAAAAACAGTTTAAACTGCGACATTTCATTCGCTTACAAACAATTAAAGAATTTATTTCTAATTTAAACTCAAAATTTATTATTTTTAAATCTTGAAAAATGTTCTGGAAGTAGTTCGTTTGAATGAATTTTTAGGTAGCTAATGAAATATTACGTATACGCGTAATTTTATTTTTCTTCGTTAAGCTTGGGTAACATTATACGTTTAATAAATTAATGTAATGAATTTTACTTTACTAAAGTAATATTAATGTTATTTTGATATTTTGTTCCTCTTGCATTTTCCCATAAATCATGTTCTAAAAGCGCCCAAATATTATGAAACCCCCTGGCCACTGTGCCAATCCTTACTTACCCCCTATAAGAGTGCATCCCATCGAGAATCAAGAGTCCAAGCACGTAAGAATCGCCCACACAGAAGCACCCTGAAGCCCTGCTTCGAGTCCCCGTCCGAATGAGTTTGCAACTTTTAGCCGATTGGATGACCAACGATACACATTTGCCCGCTCTTTATTATTTGATTGATGATTGCAGTTAGCGATGCGCCTTTGATGTCTTTGAAGTAACATATCTCTTGGCCCTCGGCCAGCAGCACTCGACTTTCGATTTCCAGCCAAAGACTAAAGTCGGCAATTTATGCCGGCATAACTCGTGTGTTTAGGCCAAGTCGCAGTGGAGTAAGCGGCTTAGTTGCCCAGGAAGCCGCGACGGACATTTGTGTTGACAAATCAATTAAATGCGAAATTTAAAGGCGCACACAGTAGCGCCGAGAGGCAAAGTCTGCACGCGAATGTGCTAGAGATTGGGTCTCTCCCTCCAGATGCAGATTCAAATCCAGATCCAGGCCAAAACCAGGTTCCGACTCCCAATGAAACCTTGTCGACGCTTATCGAAAACACTGATCCGGCCATGCAAATCGTAAAGTGTGAAAACAAATTGCTAAGAGGCCTCGAGGGAAGGAGAATCAAGAACCAGAGAGAGACTCATTGCAGCCGTCGCGTCAGATAATTGCACTCGATTTGTAATTCAAGATTAAGGGCAGACAGCTCGTCCGTTTTCCGTTTCTGAACTTAATTTATGTTCAGATTTTTGCGAGGGCATTGTTTCTCCACCGACCCGATGATAATCACCTAAAATGTGGGCCATGAGTTAAGTGATTATGTAAATTTTTGGTTCGCTGACCAGCTGAGTTCAGCACCTGGAGTCTGGATGTGATGGCATAACCTTCAATTGGCTTTGGGCAGATAATTGCGAACCGAAAGGCCAGGATTGATGGCCAATTTGGGGGAGTTAGTGAAAGTCAGTTCTGGCGAATTTTATTATTAAGCACAAAGTGAAAGTGATTTATACTAAACTATTAACAGTTTTTCGTTCTTTTAAAAGATATATATTTTTGTAGATACTCAAAATATTATATAATTAACTATTAATGCTTACTCTATCTTAAGTCTCTTTTAACTATAAGTTTTTAATATAAAACGGTATACTTACATCGTATTTACTTGACCTCATTTTACCCATTTATTTTGCATCTAATTTGCATTCGTATTTCGTCTACGCTTCTTTGTTAAATTCAATCCAGTCGAACATTTAGAATGCGATTTCGGTGAATCGATTTTGGGGCCAATTTAACAATGTCCTTTGCGATTATGTGGGTATTTTGGTATTAGGCTTAAGAATTTTGAACACTTTGCAATTGCGATTGATCTAAGCACTTTATTAATTTGTGTGTCAGTTGATATATCAATTAAACAGTCTTTAATTATTGTTATTTTCTGAGTGGAGAGGCTACTGCAAGGGATAAAGTAGCAAGGGAAGCCGAAAAAATATTACTCATACGACACGTGCCACGTGAAAAGCAGCAGCTGACTGACTGAAATTGAAACCGAAACCGAAACTAAGCGAACAGGAAAACCCCCAAAAGCGAATGGAAGTGGCAAGAAGCAGAGCACGGAAAATGGACTACGGACTGTCGAGTACGGAATACGGAAAGCAGGAAAGCAGAAAACAGAAAACAGGCCAAAGGCAGGAAATCAAAAACGATTCCGATAAACCAGGCTGACTGTTACTTTCAGCTGCTTCCCCGCAGAGCCCAAAAACTGTTTACGATTCGCGATTTACGGCCACCTTGCTGTTAATGTTCTCTCCTTTCTCTCGCCGCCCTTTGGGCTTTTCATTTTGGCTTTTTCTCTGGCCTGACACGTTTCAGTTCGCTGTGTTGTTTGCGGGAAAAATCGTTAAGGCGGCAACAACAACAGCGGGAAAGCCAGAACGGCAGCGAAATGCCAAAACTGCACGAAACAGACGATGAGAGCACTGAGAAAAAATGATTACTAAATCTGGCAAGATGAAAATTCAGTTTTCTAAACTGATTGGTAAAACAAATAAAATGACGTCTGACTTAAAAAAAAACACGGGATTCAAAAGGATTATTTACTAACTTTAAAGAAACACCGGAGTGAAAAGGATTATTTTACTGAGTTTACAAATTTAAATAAATATAACTACTTTATTTTGTATCTCAACAGTTTATTTTAAAAATGGTATCTGCTACAATTAGTCTTGCGCAAATTTAAACATTTTAATTTTTTTTACACCTTGGCAAAATAACTAATTTTCTGCACAATTTTCTGGAGTTATAAGAAATATTTAAATTCAAGAAGCAAGAACCAATAAATTTATATGAAGTAGCTAACTTATATTATTTTCCCAATACCCAATTGTAAAAACTATTTTAAATTCTTCAACCTGTATTTAATTTTAAATGCCTGATTTTCCTAAATTCAAAAGCTGGCTCCCCACATTTGAGAAACTTTTTCGCTGAGTGAAGGGGGACAGCAGCAGCCACGTGAAAAATGCCGGAAACAGAAATCGATTTGCAGCAGAAAGAAGGCCCCAAAACGGGGAAGGTTCGGGCCAGTGGTGTGTTATGCACTCTGAGGTCACGATAGCGAGGCTCTTCTGTGGGGGAATCCTTAAGTTAAAGTTCTCGGTGAACAGCAAATTATGTCACACACACGCAGCGCACGAAAGTAGGCAACGATTTGGGCTCGATTGCTTCGCGAAAATCACACTTTTCGGTCGTTAACATTTCGCCAATGCTCTTGCCAAATGTCGAAAAAAATTATTGAATTTTTGTTGAAGTTTTTTACCCGATTTTATGAGCGTTTACCCGATGTCGCTGGGCGCTGCTGCCTCTGCTGCTGCAGCGCTGAAAATTCACGTAACAATTGATTTGTGTGTCAAAAATGTCACAAGTGTCAAAACTGCGTGGAAGAACAAGCAGTTTTACAGTGGAGAGCGACACTGAGAGAAATTGAGAAGTCGAGAGAATCGGAGAGGCCAAGAGCCGGTCAATGGGAGAACTCCAGCTGCGCCGCTGCGCAAAGAGAGAGCATAAGAGAAAGCCAACAACACGTGTGTGTCCTGCGAGGAAGAGACTAAACCTGAGGCCCTATTTGAGAATAGAATGAAGAGCTTGGGATTATGTCAAAGGATCATCAAAGATCAAATCGCTCTTAAAAAATTCATATTATCTCAAATCACTGTTTGATTTGAAAAATTATATTTGAATAAATATCTATTACTTTATCATTTCAAAATTAAATATTTTTAAATAAATATCATTAAAATTATATATAATGAAATTACCCTTTATGAATTTGGTAGTAAATTGAATAATACTATTTTACTATACTATACAAAAAACGTTTGCCAAACTAAATGATTTACTTTATAAGCTTACGGTCGAGTCTACTTGCATTAGGGCTCACTGTACCAATAACTTTTCCGCCTATTTATGAATCACTTGACCATCCCCCGAAAGTTTCAAGCGGAAACCCATACTTTAAGTCCTGGCAGCTAAGCCAAAAAGGGGTTCATTTTTCGTCTATTCCTTTGGATCCTGCCTAAACGGCTTAAAAGGCTCAAATGAACGCAGGCAAAAGCGTTTTTCTGCCACTTTTCGACCGCAGGAAAACCAACGAAACGAAAACTTCAAGGGTGGCCAATAAGGTGTTTTGGCTCAGAAACACAACAAATTTGTTTTCCTTTATAATAATTCTTCTTAAAGTTTTATTTCAGTTCACAATGTTTGATTTAATTTTCAATGTTATTGTTTAGTCAATTAAACTCGAGTTATGTTCGTGGTTTTCGATTCGTGTTATGGTTTTTAAATTCACAATATTTTTCATTAATTTGTATTATTATTGTTTATTTAGTTAAACTCGATTTATGCTCGTTATTTTCGATTCGGATTCCGATTTCGAACCGATTCTACTCGATTCGCGACTGCGGTTTGTTAAGTTTTGTTGTTGCGAACCCAACTAAATGCGATGCGAAACTGGCCAACGATATGCGATGCCTCTGCTGCAGTCGCTGCCGCTGCCGCTGCCACCGTCGCTGTCTCTGCCTGCGTCAACTGAAGCAGAGCATTGGCTTTTCTTATTGGAACAAATACTCGGGAGACTTTGAGACCGGCCAGTTTTTAATAGTTCCATGGAAAGGGGGCGTGCCGGGAGTATGCTCACCACTTGAGGCTAATAAGAAGAAGAGGAAGAATCAGGGAATGAGGAAGAAAAACAACAACAACAACAGGAACAACAACCGCAATGAGAGCGAGTGGATTGCAACAGGAGCTTTGAGCAGCGACGTCGACTGCGCTGCTGGGGCCACTTTTTCGCCATAAAAAAGAGAAAACTTTTCGCTCTTTCAAGTTTGCGGAAGCCAAACAGAGAAAAGGAGAGCCCAGCTACTGCATAACGGTCTATGCCGCAAAATTGCATGCGATTTTCAGCTTTCCCACAAATACTCTTTAATTGCAAATCGAGAGAAGAGACTTTTTTCTGGGGGTGAATTTTCGACTGACCACTAAACATATTTAGCTTGTTTTAAAGTTCTCGAGTGACCATTTCTGGATTGAAAAAGCTCCTGAAAGCTCTGAAAGGATTTACTGAAATTTTCGATTTTCCTTGAACTTTTTAAAACACTTTTTTTTTTAATATGACTAATTTGAATACGGATTGAATATTTAAACTTGACTGATTTAAATATTTTAGATTGCCCAGATAAATAAAATATTTATGAAATATTTATTCAATTTGGAAATCTTTGAACTGGGTAAAAATATACCTCTAAGATCTAAAACATTACGCAAATTAACCTTAAAATTCAATATGTATTGTTTTCAATTGATACCATAATTTATAGACCTGAAGGAAGTAAAATTCATTTAAATATTTGAATTATTTTCGGAACTAGTATTAACTGGTCACCCCAAATTGTTCTCTGGGGGTTGATTGGGCTCGTGGTTGCCAGTTGAAAACTGTTTCCACTCTCGCATGCGATAATTGCCTCACAAACACACTGAAACCCCCACCCCCACCCCATTAAAGAAGCAACAACAGGTTTGAGTTGGCCAACGCAATGAATGTTGCACGAACCGAGCGACATGTTGCAAAGTGGCGTTGGCATTGGACGCGGTTTTGTTTTATTTTTTGGGGCAGGATCTCTTGGAGGGAGTAGAGATCATCATTACCCACATGCGGCTGATTACTCACGCGATGTCCAGCTCACGCAATACCATCGGGATTGGGATTATAGACACCTCTTATATGATTCGGGGTCGGTAATCGGTTAGCCGAGTGTTTTGTGCATATTGTGATATATTGACAGCATTAAGGCAGCGATAGTCGCGCTTCATTAATCATAGATCCTTACGGACTGAGACCTATTAATTTGAACGCCACGGAACAAAACAGCTTCTCTTTGGGCCATCTTTAATGGTGTGAACACGCCAGGAGTAACAAATTGCAAAATAGCTTACACTGGGAGAAAATTATGAAGGTGTTTTCAAACAAATTTAAAAAATAAAGACAATTTAAAAGCAATCTATAATGTTAGTTTAGTAAAAGAAAAGATGTTTATATTTTTTGTTTATTCTAAAACTTTGTCTATAAAAAATATCATTATGTAAAACTTTTGTAGCTTTGTGCATAGAAAAGAAACATGCTTCTGAATAGGGAGTATAAAATATTTCTTAAAAATGTATACTAAATTATATATTATAAATGGATCAATTTATTGTAATTTGTACGACCCAGAACAGTTTTCGAAGTTTAAAAATGATATTTAAAGAAATATTTTAAATGACTACCAAATCGAGGAATATTTTCTCGCAGTGACCAGAGTGAGGGAGAAAGCCATGGTGAACCCTGCAGAAAGGGAGAGCGATAGCCACCCGCTCTAGACAAAAGACAAAGCGATCCGAAGGACAAAACAGCAGAGGGCGAACGGCAAAAACAGCATCGTAAAAACAAAAAAAAAAGTTACACGCCTGCGCAGCGGGTGGCGCTCGCTTGTAATAAAAACACGCCGGCGCGGGAGCGAAAGAGAGGGAGGCTGCGAAGGGCAGGGCGAGAGGGAAAGGGAAGATAGCCCACTCACATATCGAAGCTTTCGATCAAATGGCCTATCAGATGGCCGGGGTCCCCAGACCTCGCCGACGATCCCTTGTGTGTTGAAAAATTCATTTTAATAAGCGCCCGTAAAATCAAGCTCGCAATATCTGAGCAATAAATAAGTGACAATTATGAATTGTTCCCCGGACTAAGCCCAAAACCCTTTTCCCAGCTCCTTTCGCATTTCCATCGGCGCCCGTCGGGCACTGTGTGGAATTTAATTCTGGCGCTCACTGTGCGGCGCTGTCATCGTGCCAGGGCATTAATTTGTTGTTTATCGCACCTTGTTAAAAACCTATCTTGCAAAGCGGAAAGATGAGATGGCGATGGAGATGAGATATCCAAGGAATTCCATAGATTCCTTTGTCAAATAAAAGGTATAACCACAAAAAAGTCTTGGAATATGAGCATGAACTCTAACAATTTTATAAAAATAAATATAGAAAATAAAATGTTATTTTTAGGAAAACAAATAAGCTATTTCCTGTACTCTATCTAAAACATCTATAGTCATGAAAACGCGACAAAGAATATTAAAAATAATAATAGCCTGTGTTAATTCCGCAAGCAATCAATTAAGCAAACATCCGAATTCTGTAATTAAATGATTTTACTGCCTGAAAATAATTGTTGTTGTTCATT